TCCTTGAGATATATATTTGATTTTGTATTTCCTGTATCATCACTCTGTAGAATTATTGCTTTACAGTTATTGCAATCATGTTTTAAAAACAGTCGATGGCAGACATAACCAGCAATATAGGTAATAGCATTTTCCTCCAAGTAAGAGACCTTATTTCTATTCAAATCTGTATCATCTACATCATCACTATTGCAAACATCGGCTAATGGGTTATATGTAGAAAAGAAGTTACCTGTGGGTTTTAGTTCAAGACTTTCTGACTCATGCTCTGTGTATGGATTAAAAGAAGCAAAATATTCTCTCATTTCATCAATATTATTCTCGCATTCCACATTTATATTAGAGCTTAGCTGATCCCCAACTTCAGTATTTGCATTCCATGTATTATTGCAAACATCAGCTAATGGGTTAAATGAAGAAAAGAAGTCACTCAAGGGTTTTAAGTCAGGTGCAAGACTTTCTGAATCATATTCTGTGCATGGATTAAAAGAATGTTCACTCCTTCCATCCTTATCAATCTCACATTCACATTTATTTAAGCTTGGCTCGTCCTTCTCTTCAGTATTTTCATTTGTTGTATTACTGGAGTTTTCTTTGCTTTCTTGAAATAATTGTAAAAATGAGGAGCCATCGTCAATGCAATTACTATTTGTCAATTTTTTCATTAAATGGGAAGTCATTGTAGTTTTTAATAAATTTGAAAGTTTAGGCACTGTGGGAGCATCATTATTCCCACCTGAATTCCTTATTATTCAGTCTGTTTGTTAATAAATATTTAAATGAATAGTTGTTGTGAACATCATTCCAAAGTGATCTCAAACTTGATATATTTAATAGCCATCCATTTATACATGGAATCAAGCTTTGGCTTCCAATAACTTGCCAAGATCTTATCCATTTTTCAAAATCATCAAGATTTGCTATCTGGGTATTACCAGATGAGATGGCAACTCTTTTAAGCTTATAATGATTTTGTTGGGATGAATTGAAAGTATCCAAAAGCTTGTCCATCTTATTAATGAAATGAGCAGTGTGAATTGCCTCAGGTGGCATAGCCCCCAATTCAGTGTGGGTACTGATCCCCGCCGCTACACTTCTACTAAATATCTGAGAAGCCAGACAAACCCTCATTTTGTCGAAAGTGGTTAAAAAAACATGTTGGTCATGCAGTTTGGGAGCGAGGCGAAGGTACATTGAAGAATCTCTTTATAAAAATCCACCACATACTTCCAGCTAATAATTTTGTTATCAACTTTAAAATCATATTTCATTAAATTGTTCCTTATACTTTTTAAAAGATGTGGAGTGTCAAAGAAAAAATATATATCGTCTCCATTATGGAGCAGTGATGGTGAATAACTGGTAATACAAAATTTGTTGAACACACTCCTATTTGTAGTGTCTTGATGACAGATGACAAATTTTGGAATAAACCCAGAATCTTTCAACTTAGTGAAGCAGTCTGAAATCATCTTACACAAAATCTCTGACTTAACACTTTTGTGGAAGTAAAAGAAGCCCAAAGTTTGCTTCCAGTTAGATGCTAGTCCCCTAGCCATAAAAACCATGGCATACTGAGCTATCTTTTTGGAGCTGGCATACTCACCAAGGTCTTCATACCCTTGCATTTTGTCATTTGCTACATCATAAAAAATGCCAGATTTGATAGAAATGGCATCAAAGACTATGCCACAAATTTGCTCTTGTTTTTTCATGGTAGCTCCCTTTTTTTCAATTACCCTGAAAAAGGATTTATTCCACCCTGCTGAGAAAGAAATCCTCTTCAGGCAAAATCTCAGCATCCGAGGTGTTGGGAGGACAAAAAGTTGTGCCAGCAAGTTGTATGCTCTCGCACTTTTAAAATATAGAGCAAGGGCAAAAGCTCTCTGTGTATCAGAATAACGTCATGGTGTGATTCAAATGTAAATCTATGCCTGCACAACATTTCATATAAGATTCATATTTCTATATTATTTCTCTGTGTTAACAGAAGGAATTTTATAAACAATTAAATATTGTACACTGCACTGGTTAAATCATTTGGACTAACGAGAAGATGCACTCCAAAAGTTAAGACTCTAACTTCACCATCAGTTATGTTGCTCTCTGGATCATCGTCTTCGTGTTCTTTGTTGAAAGCATCTGTGAAGTAGACATCCATATATCATCATTAAAATCTAACTCTTAGCAAACACTAATGTAAGTATAACACAAAACCCTTTTTTTTTCTCATTGCTTATACACAATATGTTGAAGTAATTGATAATAACTATATATTTATTTTTTCATATAATTCCAAATTGTCTTATCTATTCTAATTTAAACATTAAACCAATATGATGGAATAATAAAGACAATACTGTATCTGAAAAATTTACCATACTTATATTGCACTCATATCTCACCATGAGCATTATGAAGACTTTTCCTTGGTGTTGGATATTTGAAAACTGAAGTAATGTTTAATCCATATTGCGGGGACACAGATAGCGAACCTAAG